TTTATATTTTTTCCCTTTTTTTGGGAGGGGTGTGGGGGCACAGGTGTGACCCGCAGGCCTCGAGTTTGACACATGTGGTCCAGACAGACATATGTGACCCGTCGTCTTGAAATGAGGATCAAGTCAAATTTGGTCAAAATGACCTAATTGCATTTTCAGACTCCTGGTTTTAAAAGCTACATTTTGATACCTGGATCATTCTGATATCATAAGCTTATCCAGAGATATGAACTAATTTGTCTTGTTGGTTACGATAATACATTAATGTTTGGTTTGAATCCTAATTTTATGTAAATTTATTAAGTAATTTTTGATCAATATAAAGAGGAAACCTCAAATAGTATTTGTACATTAAGATTTCCAAGTTGGACAGCAACAAAAACATTGCTAACTCATAGGGGGAAAAAAAAAATTTGGGGCATTTTTCCTCAAAATCTTTTTTTTTTTTTGTGTTGGGTCACATATATTGTACCAACAGTAATATGTTTTGTTAGCTCGACAAAAAGGCTGTATGAACATATCGATGTGGCCTTTTAGAAACTACTATTGGTTTGTCATTTCATATTCCTGAGTTATATTAAAAAAACAAGTCTTGTACTCCCAGACCTTTTTTAAATAATGAAGCAGGATTTAAGTTATAAGCAGCCGGTTATGGTTTGAGTTCTCAAATTAGAATATTCAGGGAGGAAAAACCAAACGACGCAGCGGATGTGTTGACTAAGAGACCATATTCAAACAGCAGACAATGTGCAGCAAACCTGACAGCTTGAGGCCTCGCTCTCCAACCTGAGTGTCATAGCCATGGGGCATCCTGAGGATAGCATCATGAAGGCCTGCTAAACGTGCCACTTGGTACACCTCCTCTGCTGTAGCGTTGATGTTGCCGTAGTGCAGGTTGTAGAAGATGGTGTTGTGGAACAGAACGGCATCCTGACAACAACAAAATTAGAGAGCAAAATGAGGCTTTGGAGAATATTTTTATTGCAGCCGAGAGAGGAACAGAAGACTGCGGATACAAACAGCAGAATTGGGTGGGGGGGAATGACAAAAACATGTTCATGAACCATCTGTTCTGATAAGCCTCTGAGCACGTTAGAATTCAAATGATTGCGTTCACCTTGTTTTTCAAGTTATTACTCTTACATTCTTCTATGCTGAAAACAGCTGAATGAAAGCACATTTAAATCTGAATATGTTATAATTATTGTGTAAAGAAAATGGTACAAATATTATTTTTTTGTGGTGAAGAAAGTTATATGTTGACATATTTACTGATTTAGATTGTGTGTGTGTGTGTGTGTGTGTGTGTGTGTGTGTGTGTGTGTGTGTGTGTGTGTGTGTTGGTGTTTTTCAGACCTGAGGTACGACCCCCAAAGCCTTCCTCAGGCTGTCCAGGCTCACTTCTCGGATATTCTGTCCCGCGATGTAAATATTACCGCGCTGGGGTTCATAGAAACGGAACAGCAGCCGCACCACAGTGCTCTTCCTGCATGCAGCGGTGAAACCGATATTCAGCATCAAGATAACAACTGCATCTATGATGATGTCTAAAAGGTGACCTACCCTGACCCACTGCCGCCAACTATAGCCACCTTCTTCCCAGCAGGCACCTCAAAGGACACTCCGTTTAAAACTTTCTGGCCCTCCAGGTATTCAAAGTAGACATCCTCGAAGCGAATGGTGGCCTCCTGTGGTGTGACCTGTAATGGTGGAGCGAGATCCTTCTCCTAAAGAAAACCGTTCAAGGTTTGACAGGAAAGAAGGAACAGAAAACAGTCAAGGCCTGGCATGATGTAACAGCACCTTGTACAGGGACATACTGCTGCTGCGTTTGGCCTTAAAAAACGACACAACAAGAAGGCATTCATTGCATATTTGAACAGTCATAAAAGGACACCGAGACTCTGCTCTGCCATTCAAGGTGAATGCTGAAGAATCAATAGGCACGAAAACTTTTTCTTCATACTGAGTTCAGCTGTGGTGCTGAGATGCAGCCAAGGTCTGCAGTGAATAAAACCCCGTCCTTTGCCTGAGCGAGTGAAACCTGCTCTGCTCAATGCGTACGAGCAACATAATCACCCACAATCCACCTCAGTCAATTAATACAAATAACACACAGACCATTAGTATAAACAGATGATAATTCCACACCCTTCAGCATGGAAAAAGCCAAAATTATTTCTTTTATATTTAGTGGCACAGTTTCAAGTGAGGGAGAGTTTTAAATAATTTTACATCTACATAATAGGACAATGTGTTCCACAGTATAAAATAAATAAATAAATAAATAAATAAATAAATAAATAAAAGCATTCAGACGGTAATGGCCTTCTAGGCAGGACCATTCCACAAGGATTCACAATGGAGAGGAATATTACTGATGAGTGGAAAAATAACTGGACAGATTCATCTCCACCACTGTAATTACAGGCTGGAGAAGGGAGCAGCCTTCTTATTGTTGGGCAGCAGACACACATTTGCACTTAAGTGCACTCCTATGACGCAAGATGGGCTGTCATGTCACGCTATAAAACGAGAAATGAAATTACATTTCCCGTGAAAAGAAGAGAAGTATTTCAAGAAAGAAATATGAAAGGCCTATATATCTAAAATCTCAAATGTTTGGTCTTTTTTTTTAACCACAAAATGTAAAAGATTTAAATGGTTATGTATTTGGATTGGATTTGTATTGTTTGTGTATATATATTATATATATACATACACAAACAATTTTTGGCATAGTAATTACACAAGAATAACTATAAAAACGGGTAAAAAAAATTTTATTTAAAAAATTAAATACTGAAAAGCTTTTAGATCACCAGCCTGGATCCTGGATGGTATAACTGGAATACTGATGAATCTTCAACTGAAAACAAGAATCTGAACACAAAGAACTGGACGTTAAAACTAAAACCTTAATCAAAAAGCAGCAAAGAACAAAAAGTAAAAAGATGAAACCTCTTTTTAAAACAAAAAGTGACCATCTTTTCACAATGGAGAATAAAAACGGTTTACAATAAAATGGGAAAAAGCTATTTCTACAAGCCTGTGCTCTGTTATATAAACAACTTTAATTCATTTTAAATAAATGTAAGTGGTGAGAAGTAAAATGAAAGCTTGATGTTGCAACACAAAGTATTCCAAAACTTATAAATGCACTCATTAAAATTAGCACTGCTTTCAACAGTTGGATAATTACATACCCCAAACTGATCACCAGTATGTAGCCGGCCACAGTTCTGCAGGAATGTGTCATTTTATTAACACAGATACGACTAATGCAGCCAGTAATGRCAGACACTACAGGTGGTAATAGATGAAGAAGAACCTGAGTCACATCAACCATATAATTACTATGTTTGACTACAGCCCATCATCTTTTTACACCACATGTTGATAGGTTATCCAAGCCAAGCCAAGCAATTACAGGAACAAGTCAGTTCTGTGTTAAATGTCTTTTACCACCAACTCTCTCTCTCTGTTACTCATGTTAAAAAAAAACATCTGAGTGAGAGGCTTTATCATTTTTGAGTATTTACCCTTGCTTTTAAATTTCAGCCCTAACTGTGTTCGCTTTCTATTGTGCACAAATGCATCTCTCCTGTTTTCTTTTGTTGGAGGATCTACATGTGAAAAAATGAAAACACAAAAGAGTTTTGTGTTTTACTGCCACTGCGGGGAGAAGTTCTTGTCAGGCTGACAAGTTACCTTGATCTTTGTGTCGATGCTGAGCAGAGTGAAAAGCGTGTTCATGTCTATGAGAGCCTGCCTGGTTTCTCTGTACACTGTTCCCAGGAAGTTGAGCGGAAGGGAGAGCTGGAAGAGCAGGCCGTTCACCATCACCAGGTCACCCACGGTCATGGTGCCTATACGACGGCAACACAACAGCTCAGTGATGCACACCATCTTGCTCTATTACATGTATTTAAATGAAAGATCTAAAAAAAAAAAAAAAACACTCAAACCATTCTCTCTTCAAGTTGCTATGAAAGCAGAGAGCATCTCTGCTCCTCCCCCCACCTGCGATGTCATTTTTTGCATCAAGGCTATTTTATTTTCCATTCATGCCTGGTTTTTATGCTTGCTGAGCTTTGTACTTAAGTTTTTTTCTATTATGAATTTCTGTCAAGGTTTACACGCATGTTTCATCTGCCTGGTTTTATTTTGAGGGATGTTTTTTTTAATTGCCATGTAATACTACCCCCTGCTATGCTTTTAGTGTGAAAAAACACAAGTTAAAAAAAAGGTCAAATTCAGGTCAGCTGATGGTTGTTCCTTCTTTGCACTTGAACAATCTTATGTTTTGCATCTTGAAAAGAATGATAGTCTGGTCTCAATRCCCCCAAACACAAACCACCACCAAAAACTCTCAAATTGCTCACCTGCTGTGATGCCTTTACTGGCCAGCAACATGATTGCAGTGAGGCCGACGCTGAAGATGGCACTCTGGCCAAAGTTGAGTAGGGCGAGTGTGGACGTGGTTTTTAAAGAGGATGACTCATAGATCTTCAGGAATTCATCATACCTTTCAGCTTCGTACTTCTCATTATTGAAGTACTGCAGCCGAGATGAGAGGAGAAAAAAAATGAGGAGAGAGCAGAGAAGGGAGCACAGGGCAGGGGAGTCGATGAAGGGATTCATAGAAGAAAAAAAAAGGAAGGAAAGCGTGAGTTTAGAGAGAAAAGGGGGAGAGACACAAATATGGTTGAGGTTAAAGGTTAAGGAAGCGAGAGCAGCGTCAGGCAGATACACACTTTAGCTCAGTCTGCCTCAAGGCTGCATTTGTTCTCAGTGACCGCTCCGAGCGTGGACCGCGTCTCAGTTGGCCTCCGAAGCACTTTTTCATGTCTGCATCTTCATCTGCTCCCAACAGATTTTAACGGACATGAAAGCAGCGGAACAAAATCCAAAGCCTGCTTTGCTGAACTGGCAGCAGATCTAAAGTTTTGACAGAGCTCAGTGACTGTGGTAAAACAACAGTTACAAATATTAGGCAGGAAGTGAAGCCTAATCATCACTTGTAAGGGAGACAGAAACTGCTGCAGAGGATTCTTGTCGCCTCTGTCTCTCGCACTCTCCCTCGCTCTGTAGCCACAAAAATGCCTGCATTACCAACAAAGCTTAGAAAGCTTTCTTAAATGTTGCACCACACAAGCAGAACAAATTCTGATTAAGACAGCTATCATTAAGATAAAAAAGGCTCATGAATCAGCCACAAGCACACCTCACAAATGTAGAACATAAAACAAAAGAATAATCGCAACAATCCCCAACTCTGCTGCCAATTACTTCATATTGTTGCTGCAGTGCTGTTTGTTTAGTTTGCACTATTGTTTCCCTGCTCTGGTTAAGTGGGCGATTTGCCTCTCTTGCTAACAGCAGAGATGCTGTGCAGCTACTGACTTACCATGGATTTGCATAAAAGAAAAATAAAAAAAATGCAGAGAAATCTGAGAAGGGGAAATAAGAAAGTGGTAAACTGAAGCAGCACAAGGCGCCGCATTCAGGTTRTCATCCAAACCTTTATGAAAGTGGAACGGATTTCTGAGTGGGTGGAGATCTAATTACATATGCACACTCACAGCTCAGAGTGATACTAAATCTGGCTGCATTGACATAAATGACACAAAATAACACAGAACAAGATGTTAAGAAAAACAGGACACAAAATAATGCGGCATTTAAAATAACAGTGAATAAAAAAATAAAAATAAAAAAAAACAGATATCCAGAAAAGGCCACCTACAGCACCCAAAACTTCACATAAGGTACAAGTCTAACACGGTTTCTAATGTCTAAAACAGTCTCTCAGACCAGCTTACAAGTAGTTTTCAGGAATCATTTTCTAAACACAACACCCCAAAGTTTTTCTTTTAATATCGGCTTCAGGTTTTTGTTTTCTGTCAACATGGTCGCACGCTCCTTCAATAATATTGAGGTTTGGGCTCGAAGGAGGGAGAGAGGCTCAATCCATGACTGACAGAGTCTTATTTTAAGTTATTCGATCAAGGTTTGTTTTTATTACATTGACAGTGGGTTTGGGATAAATGTCAAGCTGACCCGTGCAATGACAACACCTCCTCTGTGTTTTACCGATGATTCACTGACGTACTTTTATGTTCACTTTAGTCTCTACAAGTTAAACCCAAACATTTTATTCACTCCAAGTCTTACTGTTTTGTAGCTGTCTATTTAGTGTACCTCTATAGTAATTTGACAGTTATCTCCTCTCATTTTTTCCCTTTTTTCTGTTAGAACGGCTTATTGACAGCCATTGAAAATAGTTTCTGATTAGGCTCTGTTCTCCTTTCTCCTGTAACTTTGATAAACATAGTCTCATGATTATCAAATGCGTAACAACTCTTAGTTAAGAGAAAAATAAATCAAATAAAAAGAAGATTATTCTGTTTATTACCTGATTAAGAAAAAGAGAATGTCTCTTTATGGTTGAGGTGACCTGTTATGGCCTAAATCAGTTTAACAGGTCAGAGTTCTGTCTCTTTAAAGGGCCTGTCCGAGGCCTGTGGTCAAAGACAGTTTTCCTGTTTATATCACTTGAGGTGACCACTACACCTGATATCAGTTTTTCTCAACAGTATGAGTACAAGTACTTCAGTTTGGGTACTGGCAAATACAGAGTACTGAATAGAACTTAAAAATTACACAATGACTTTAAAAACTTTTATTTAGAAAAAGGTTTTCCTTTATTATAAGCCTTCAGACCCTCTTAATGGACCAAATTAAATATATAGCATGACATATAGTGTTGCTACAATTTAAAGTTAGCACGGTGACTGCACACTTGTAATCAGTATAGAGACACGTCCATTTCTAATGATYTTTTGTCTAATTGTAAACTGAAGCAGGTCATGGATGATCCCTTCCTGAGATCACATGAGGTCTTTGCTGATTTTATTTCCTATTTTCCCAAAAACAGCTACTATTGATCTACTGTGCACAAAATTTAGGTACCCCACTTCCTGATTTCCCCTCCTAGTTTAGATTTCACTATTTTTAAAAACACACTGCACTTCATACTTAATTGTTTTTCCAGCACATCTTTAAAAGTCATATTGTTGAATGAAAATATATAGTTTTATACCTGTCAAACTGACATTGTTTTTGCAGGTTCAATGAAAGAAATTGGAACAAATTGTCTTTTTACAAGAGACTGTTAGAAGAAAAGTGTCTTTGCCAAGTTACCTGTTATGTGTAGACAACATTTCTTCATCTTTTTTCTGAAGCGCCTTCCTCATCTCTAAATGATTCATATGTCAACACTAAGTGGTTTCAAAATATTGATATTCATCTGAAAATGGTCATGTAAAAAGACTGGAACAAAAATGAGAAAAGGAGCGATCGATGGTTAAAGAAAAACTTTGAAAGATCTTGAGAAGGCCTGAAGAACTATTGCTAAGACCAGCAAGCAAGAAATGGTTCTYAACTTTTGCACGGTCCTAAAACTACACCCTGACAATCACAGGTATGTTACTTTGACAGCAGCCACAAAAAACCGGTTACACCACCCATATGCAGAAATACTTTACAGTAGCAACTTCCTCCCAGCAGGATAAAAACAACATTGGCATCCACAAAACAGTTCAAAGGAAGGTAGATTCTAAATGCTGGAGGTAAGTGAGGTAGCAACTCACCTTTACTGTCTCATAGTTGAGCAGTGAATCAATAGCTGCGTTGCCTGCTTCATTGTCAGCTTTGTTCATCTGGATACGAAACTGAGTCCTGCATACAGACACATGCACAAAGACAAGAGCTTTCATTAGTACGTTTCAACCAGCATGTGACAATTTTCACAGGTAGCACAAGAAGCCACTGAGGTATTTATGGACCTTGTCAAGAAATAACAATCCTGACCTATAGACAGAGTTTAAAAAATGCAGACATCTTCCTACCTCCACTGAGTAACAAGAATGGTGAAAAGTGTGTACGCTGATAAGGTGCCCAAGGCCACTGCTGCAAACTGTCCACCGCACTTATAATACTGCAGGAGAGAAGAGCAAGATAGACATATTTTCTGTGCAGTAAACACATTTTCTTATCAAATTCTAGGAACCATATTGCACTACGTTATTGTTAGTTTTACACAATTGTATTACTTTAAGCATTCGTGCTGAAGCTTTATGTTTGGACAATAGAGTATGACCTCATTACAAACAATATTTTACCAGTTGGAGCGATAAAACAAAGCTTTAAAGGAGACGTTCTTTATGTGGCCAAGAACGGACACATCTGTTTAGGGTATTCTCTGCAGGAGGACATTAAGCCGCAACAAAGCTCTGGGATTCATCAATGACACTAATCGACTGTGTTTCCATCAAAAGTTCACAGGGATTCAGAWTCCATTTACAATGTAAATGAGACAATATCTCCAAAATTAATTTCCAGACAATCTGCTGTGACGAATSTCGGGGTGATGTAGGGTCCTGGGCCACTGGGAAATGAACAACAAAGACCACAAGACATAGAAATAACAGAATGTCAGTTGCGTTTCTGTAAGTACACTAAAACTCTTAGTGGCAAAATTACATCACACTTTTGAAGGATGCTAATTTTGCTGCTTTATGTTGTAGTTGAACAAAGAACAAATCAAAGCTAAATACACATTTATTAAAGGAGGGTGTTATGCAAAGTTGACTTTTTTGAGCTTTTTATKATGTTATAATGTAATGRCCTCATTAAAWAGTGTTGCTTTGACATATTCCTGTCATTCAAACCCTTCAATCTCCTGTAGTAGCCACGTGGAGCAGCCTCAACACTTGCTGGTACAACGCACCGCCTCAGACAAATTCTTACCCCACAGAGCACCCCTCCCCTGAAGCATTGTTGTGAAGATGTGCTGAAGTGGGAGGCCAACTTCAAGACAAAGATAGGATATGATTAGGGATGGGTACCGAATTCGATACTTTTTAAAGTACKGACCAAATTCTGTCGGTACTACCGAGAACCTATTCACGTACCATCAAACGGTACCACGTTTCGGTACCTAAACACATCATTGCGACCGTATTAGTGTAAGAGTGGTGAGTTTTCCATGCTTMTCCTGAARGCAGCATCGCGCAAGAGCGTAATGACGTCAGCAGCTGCTGGTTCAGTAAACAYAGCTGACTGWACTTAACTTGAAAGCCTCGCAGCTTCTCGAGTAAAACTAATCGAACAGACCACCTCTGAATTATCTGGTGGATTAATTATCTTGTGAGCACGACGCTCGCTTGCTCAAAATAAATAAAGTACCGCCACTTTCTTTATTTCATCCACCATTAAACAGAGACCGGCAGAGGAAAACAACAGAAGAGCTTCCCGACAGTCCGAACACGTCTGACCTGAAAGAGCACAAGCAGKKAYCTTGAAGTGTTGGAGCGTTTTAGATGTTCAAAACGTAGTTTGAATACCTTTTTATTTATTTAACTCCATCCTCTTTTGTTTATTTGATTTAAACTTATTTGCCTTCCATGGACCTCCATCACACAATTTTTCTAGCTGGGAAATGACGTCAATAGAAACACGTGGAGCTGAATTTTAATTTGTGCAATAAGACAAGTCTTGTTGTTTTCACTTTAAAGAAATTAGTTAAAATAACTGATGTTACAATACAAAGAGTTGGATGTTGTCTTGATATTGAGAAATATGTTAAATAAAAAAAATTTAAGTTAAAAAAATTATTAAAAAACAATTCACACAACGTACCAAAAATTGGTTTCGTTAAGTACCAGTACCGATTCRCAGGTACCGGKTACTGGTACCGAATTGATTCAAATGTCAAAGGTACCCATCCCTAGATATGATGCAAAGTCAAATATTATTTTTGATACAACATTTTCACAACACAGTTAAGCAGGCAGTATACTGCATTCAAACTGCCGAAATCATGCCGAACTGTCGCGGTTTCATGACGAAATTTGCGTCATTATGTTTGCATTGACGGCATTTTCGGCACTTCTTGTTGCGAACTGCGGGTCCAATTTTTTTACCCCCCTCCACATAAGAACACAAGAACTTCATTGTGTGATTGGTCAGAAGTTCGTGGGAGTGTCTTTTTGTGCTGAAAGRGCTCAGACGCTGTGTTTTGCTCCAACCATTCGCTTAAAAAAAACAAATAAATAAAATCTCTGCTTCCTTGCACCAGGAAGCAGCCATTTATAAAGATAGTCAAAAGGCCAAAAACTCATAAAAGGTGATGAAACAGACGTTTTTCACGATGGAATCTGACTAATAAAAACTTTGGAGCTTAATCCAGAACCAGTTTGTGGATAAACGTCAAGTGACGAGTCTCTGACTTTTTTTCCCTGCATTGTGGACTTCAGCGGGACGATATCCCTTGCAGTGACGCTTGCTGCAGCGGGAGGGGTTTCCCAGGAGCTCGGCTCAGGGTGTCTCATCAGGGAGCTATGGTGTGTGTGAAAACAAACGCCCAACAACCGCGTGACGGCACATTGTCCGGTCAGCTGCCGAGCGACTATACTGCCAGCTTTACTTGATTGTGGTATAGAATTGAACTATGTGCCTGGAAAATAAATAATAGCCCCCTTTAAAAGTTATTATCTTGTTTTCCTGTTCAAGGAGAAGAAAAAAAGATTTTCCATCAACAAATGTGCATTTATGTGAACTTGTTTCACCTCCTCTGGCTTTTAGAAACTTCACTGATAGAAAAACAGTTTTTATCATCAAGAGCCATGTGCTGTTTTGTTCACTAACCAGGTGCAATGGGTCCTTACCATCTGCAAGCCTTTTCTTTTTACTGCAAACATATGAGTTTAAATGTAGAGGGTTTTGCTTTATAAATACAAATTACAAGGTGGTTCCATAAGTTTTCCTTTGTTTTATGTGGAAGGGAAAATGCTTTACAACAAAATTCTATAAATATTTTTAAGTACCACATTGAATGATCCTTAAAGAGAATCCTTATTTTTTGTATAATAAAAAAGATTGTTATCAGCCTGGTCTTGTTTTAAACCTGAGACTTACCAAAATAGCAGTGACGAGGCCCATCTCGAAGGTCGTCGGTCCTAGATTGAAAACAAGAGCACTGAGGACAAATGAAATGCCCCGTGTCCCGCGGTCAATAGCCTTGGACAGCGCCCCTGTCTGGCGGCTGAGGTGGAACCCCAGGTCCAGATTGTGCAGGTGCAGAAAGACATTCTTGGCAATGCGGCGAATTGAGCTCTGGGCCACTTTGCCGAACACCATGTTCCTCAGCTCGTTGAAGAGAGCTGAACAGGCCCGTGAGACACCATCTGGATCAGAAGGGGAGACAAAAAAGTTTTACGACACCTGCTGGGAAAAGCCGAAAGGTTTAAACAGCAGGACTATCATGTGGGATTTTTAAGGCCTTCCTAAACACAGAGCATGTTTTAAATGTATTACTGAGGCAGCAGAATGTAGGCTGTTTGATTGAATTGGACCAAAGGCTTTAATAAGAAAAATAGAGGATATCGGAGCGTGCACAGACGTGTGTGTTTGTGACAATGAAGGGGACTACATGTGTGAGCAGAATGTTTAAAAAGGCAGGAGGGAGGCTTAAGAAGAGTGCCATGGAAAGATGAGAGTGAGTTTTCAATTATCAGGCTTAATTTTACCACTCCGACTTAACGCAGCCTCTGAAGAATAAGAGCAAAAGAACGAAACTCCTTTCTTGAATGTATTTTGAAAATTCATTACATCTGACGTTTTGCATTCATAAGTCATATTAAAGACATACGCAGCAAAAACAAACTAGTTCACTTCAATAAAATCGACAGGCTAACGGTTAAAAATGAAACTAATCACATTGTTACACAGTCGCGTGGCTAGTACGACTGTCGCAAATTGATAAGTGTCTGTGTTTGAAAGATGCACAGTCTTCCTGTGGTGAATTTGCCAAGTTGTGTGAACACGTGACTCGTCTGCAGAGACCAAAGTCAGGGTGATAATCTCTCTGTCTGACGGTCTTCACGGGGGCTGTAATGTGGCGTTAAATAGGAATGCTCATCTAATGAACAATGTGTCCACGTCTGACAAGGTAGGATGAGTGCTGTGCAACCTTGACAGCCAAATTACACCAGTAACCGCAGGCTTCAAATCCAGGAGGCTGGGTGTTCAAAAGTATGAGCAAGAAGAATAACGTTTCTTTCCTGAAGATCATTTTCCCACATGTCCCTTAAATGTGCGGGCACTAGTGTCCAACATCTAAGTGGACTCATCAAAACAAGAGGCTGAAGTGCAAAAATAAGTTTATGATCGTGTCAGCTAAGGTCAAAGTTACTTAGTGAGGATCAAGTTTAAAATAGTTTTCCAGGGTTCCCACACCTTGGTCAAAATCAAATTCAAGGACCTTTCAAGGACTTTCCAGTACCAATTTCCTCAAATTAAAGAACCATGCGCAACGGCAATTACCTACTGCTACCACAGAATGTTACCAATAAACAGGTTTAATATCATGTAAATTCAATGAAGAACTTAACATAGAAGTTGGTGAGTCAGAAACAATGACGTCAGTTTACCCTAATCCGGAGTTATCCACATTGTTGTGTACATTGTTATCCAATGTACGTTTTTTTATTTTATTTTATAATTAATTTTTTTAAAAGATGATGAAAATCAGTCATGTGAATAGAGAATTTCAATCCTCAAAAAACATTCAAGGACTTTCAAGGACAAGTGTAGTTTTTGGCTGTTTTCACAAACTTTCCAGGGCCTTGAAATAATTTTTTCAAATTCACAAACTTTCAAAAGTTTCAAGGACCTGTGGGAACCCTGGTTTTCATACTTTTTTGGCTTTTTATCAGCAGCTCCACAAAAACTGTTTTGACAAAGAAGTGAAAAATAAAACGTTAAAAATGTTTGGGTAAAAACGACGTCATCCCGGACATCTGTACATATAAATAAAAATACTTAAAAACACATCCACTTCTGTTAGCCAAATTAAAAAAGAAGTTGGTCAAACATAAGAAGGCAGCACATGGTGTAAATAATCCAAAGAGCATGTTGCGGAGCAGCATTGATATGAATGCGGTGGGGAAAGGTCAGCCAGCAGACAACAGAGTCCCACAGTCTCATCTGATGAACACAGCACCTGCCAGAGTAACACAGGTTTTGGACTTACAGCCAATCAGCATGGCCGTCGCCATGGTAGCCACGGTGCTTGGCGCGTCATTCAGGTTCAGCATGTGCCCCGACATCTGGTTAAGCTCGTCCACTGCATATTTAAACATGAAGGGCACCATTACGCTGGTGAGCTGAAAAAAGGAGTAGTAAAAATTAGAAGAAAAAAAAAAAAAGAAACAGATACAGCCTTTACTTTTTGTTTGGCTTCCAACCCACAAAGTAACAAAGATTTTGGAGCTCATCTATTAACTTTGCTCATAACTTTACTTAAAACAGAATAAAGACAATTCACCAACAGTCTTAACAACTAAGATACAATTTTATTAAAAGGGAGGTATTGTGCAAAATCAACTTTTTTGAGCTTGAGAACTTTTTTTAATCATGTTATATAATGTCATTCCCTCATCAAACACATATCAAGAGTGTTGCTTTGACTCATGTTTGAGAAATCCTTAAATCTCCTGTGGTAGCCATTGGGAGCTGCTCAAACAAAGCACCACCTCTTTACACAAAGCTCCTCCCTGGAGTTCAGTCCCAGCCGAGCTCCTACCCTCTTTTTACGATTCCTAGGGATGAGACAGTTCGTCAAAAATGGTTGGACTTTTCTCCTAAGAAAGGTTGTAAATGGCATGAATAGTGACGGGATAAATGGCTCTTTGAAGGGATCCGGATCTTGGAGAGCCGTTTGTTTCAGCCATTCAAAAGAGTCATTCGATTTTGAACGAGTTACATCATCACGTAGGGAAATACGTCATCACGTATGGCAACATGATGATGTCATCACGTTACGTGGGTGGAACCACGTGTTTTGTCAAGCAGAAACCCCCCTCCCCCTTTCCCGTGAGCTTCTGTACTCCACCGCTCTGCCTGTTTTGAGTGAAAAAGCAAAGCGGGAGCAATTTAAGTATGAAAAAATAAAGATTATATGAGGAATAAAATAAATAAAACTACAAATGGCTCYTTACAGCCCGCGACTCGGCTCCTATCGTTCATTGTAAAGAGCCGTTCAAAAGATTTGGATCYTTCATGAACGTCACATCACTAGGTATGAAGCATTGTTGTGAAGACGTGCTGAAGCGGGAGTGTCTGAAACAGTAGGAGGTTCTTAAAAAGACAGAGGCCCAAGGCGTTTAGCTTTGTCTATGATGTGAACTCAAATTTATTTTTGATATAAACAGCATTTTCATTACAACTGAAGGTAAGTTACCTGATTGTGGTATAAAATTGAACTATGTGTCTGGAAAATACATATTTTCCCTCCTTTAATTCATGATTACTGCTTATTTTATTTTACTTTTATTTTTTACATTTATGGTAAAAATCTGTCAATCATTTTAAAAATGTAAGTTTAAATCTGGAGATTATCTAAGGATCCTACTTATCACAGGCATACACTCGCCATTAGTTAACAGTGACATTTCGAATATTTTTAAGCATAAGTATTTTTTATTTATTAATTTCAAACAAAAAAGTAAAAACTCTACAATTAGCATTTAACACACATTGTGAGAAGTGTCTCAGCAACACAAATCTTTTTGGAGCAAGGTTTTCTACAACATCTGAGATGAATGCAGCCTAAAAACAAGGGTGTAGATTTAAAAATAAATGCTTTACAGCTGGTTTTAGAAGAGGCCACACATTAGGCTCCAATAACAATGGGCAACTTCTTTTATACAGAACAGAAGAGAGAAATGGCTGTACTAAAATAGGCAGCTACATTTAGTTTGTTTTTGACAGTAAGCACTTCAGGAAGTATAAAAAGAAGAGGGAAAAAACCCTGATATGATTAGCTAAATACCATGAAGTACAAAACTTTGTCTGAGCAATCAGAACAACTACAGTRTGAAAAACAAGAAGCTGTACTTATGAAACATTTTTAGCTAAAAGGCTTTGTGGGATGAATATAAAAATGTTGCTTCGTAAAAAATAAAGGCTGACGGCAACATTTTTTATGTCTGCTGCTTGTTACTAGAGCACAGTTTGAGTAAAAAAATATTAAATTGTTATTTATTATAAAGTTAAAGCAAGGTAGTTCAAAGTAAGAGTAATTAGGATAAGAAACATTAGGATTTTTTTTCCAAGAGCTCAAATCTACAAGGATTTTCTAACATTGCCATACTTTTCTTCAAGAAATTAATTCATTTCATTTTAAATCTTTTCATATTTAATGTGTAACTATCATTTACATGTTTAATTGTCTTATGACTTAACTATGCCCACTTACACATATTTTACTTTAAAAGGCTCTATGTTTCTATTCTGCTGCAACATGTTTCCAGCTTTTCTTTGTACTTTTCCACACATGTGCACGCACACACGTGTGCAATATGCAACACACCCATTCAGGTGAATTTCTAGTCTGAATCTGCCATGATGTGCAATTGTGGGCGCATGTTTTCTGTCTTCTTGTGGACTGGCACTAGTAGTGCTGAGAGAAGGCTGGTGCTTCCTGCTAATGGAATTGAAATGGTTATTAGAGCTAATTAAAAGCACAGGGACAGCTGTGTGACTCAGTCTGGGCGGTCCGCTGCACATTAGGACACACAGAGAACACTGCATCCCACAGTGAAACGTTTCAAAACCCCTTTCATTTGAACCTGTAAAAGCCCAACATTGGGGTAGATTTTTAGGTCTTTCTCCATGGTCGCATTCTATATGAAATGTTTTAGTTAAAAAAAAAAAGGAAAAACCCATTCTTGCGTCTACCTGAATGTAAAAACGCCCCTATAAAGCTCTATTTATTCAGTCAAAAGCTACCTCTCCAGGGTTCTTTCTTTATACACTTGGGTATTACACTCAGACAATAGAAGTCCTTTGAGTCCCTAAAGGAAAAAAAAAACAATATCTGCCACTTTGCTACCAAGACAACAGAACATGACACAAAAATAGCCTGAGCTTATTATCACTGAGCCAAAACATGTCCTCAATTTCACCACTAATACATGATAACGTTGGATGTGCTCTTTTAATCCATTAATGGCAACCACTGGAGATTAAACTGACACTGTGTCAATCTGTACCTGGCAATATGACATCCTATAATAGAGATTCAGTGTCAAGTAGTACGGAAAGGCTTCAGGCTATGGAGAATTAGCTTTACCTTATACTATAAAAATACGAAACGGGCACAGAGACAAAGAGGGCTTCATTTGAGGCCAACTTGTATATAATCACTTATTTGAAATGAAAATGTCACCGATAATGTTGCTTGCAGAGGTGAGATGCCCCGTAACCAAAGTAATTATTCAGCTGATTTAAAAATTGCAGCCACACAGCTGGTGGTTTCGGTTCAAACAGACAAATTGGTAAAATGGAGGTTAACTCCAACCAAGCAGGAAAACACGAGGAGTCGATTGGCTTGCGTGTGCGTGTTCACGGCTCCTTAGAAACACACTAGAGGGAGCCGTGCTGAGCTGCAGCAGGACATACTTACTTAGGAGCTTTGAATTTGTGATTATTTTCCAGGGTGTAAATTAGAGACTATCAACAAAGAAAGAGAAAATGCATCACACACTGATTGATGCATGCAATTATTTATTTAAAAAGCTGTTCTAAATGCACATTGTTTGGAGTCTAACATGGGTTCGGTGCCAAGTGCAATCACTTACGGGAGAGTGCTCATGTTTGAGCAATGAGAAGATATTTGATTAAGTAAATAAACAATATGTTAAATAGTTTTTTGCTTTTATTGATCTTTTATGGCATCCTACAAAGGCAAGTAGATTTTCAAAGATAATTTTTATTTTTAAAGTTTTAGAAATCAACGTCAGGTGCTCATCAAGCAGAGGTTAAGTTCATGTCAACAACCGTTGGTCAATTCAATCAATTCATGATTATTTGTAGCGTTTATCAATTAATATGAGTCATGATAAATAATTTACATCACTTTTAATATTTAATGTCCCTCATATTTAAAGTGCTTTGCAAGGGGAGGCAGCGAAAAACAGGCAGATTCATGGAAAAAAATACCTCAATACAAAACAAAACACTCTGGTCTCACCCCCACCCTGCCGAACCAACATAAAACTCCCAAACTCCTTTATGACTGACGCCTAAAATTATTTGACAAGAGCTAAAAAAATCGACAGGATGAAGAAAATAAAAAGACGTGAAAGTTGAATGAAGTTTGGTGGCGATGGAGAAGTTTGAGCTATGAGATTTGACATATGATATTTTAGTTAGCATGTTTGGATTTAATAGTTAGGGTGTAGCTTAGTGTGTTTAGTTTAGTCAGTTTTAGTGTTTTTGAGTCAAATCGATGAGGTGATGTTTGAACGTGGAGCTACAGCTGCGGCTGAGTTGTGGACAGATGGACCGAGACGCAGTCAGATCTTTTGCAAACGGTGGCATTAATCGTAATAATCGCCAAATAATAACTGTTTAAAGTTTTTCTGATGATTAACACATGATACAATTTTGCACAACCCCAACGCAAACACTGGAATGTGAAAATGTATAAGGTATGGCATGTTTATAATTAAAAACAAAAATTGACATGAAGTATTAATAGTTTGCCTTATTTTCCCTGAAAATCTCATCTTTGGGTGTTTTTGGACCAATAGTCAAACACACTGACGTCTTGAATTTCAAAGCACTTTACAAGTATTAGTACATAACATGTTTTCATATCAATCTTGTTTGCCCAACAGCAGTGCCATTCAACATCAAATAAGAAGAGACAACATGATGTCCACCTGAGCCAGTTGGGCACCATTTTAATAAAAAACAATAATTCTGCAGCAGATGTTCTGTCTTTTCAAAGTTTCCAGTAGAATAGGTATTTGAATCCTGCCACTGGCTTGAGAGACAGCATGAAATTACAAAACTGATCTCTGACATCAAATCATTTTTGTGTCAAACTCACATCAGGATTTTTGACATCTCTACATCACTTTATAAAAAAATGCATTGAGGAATAAACATTACTACTAGGATTAGGAGAATCACTAGCTACGTTTACATGGACATAAGTAATCTGATTAAACGGCCATTTGGAATAAAAATGCGTCATGTAAAAACCCATTCGGATTATTCTGACCCGATTCAGCTCGATACCAATGAATTTGTAATCGGAATGAGAGAGGTGGTTTATGCCGATTGATAATCTGAACAGTGTGCATGTAAACACTTAATCCAATCACTTTATTCTGATTATGGGAAACTGACCTGACAGTGCATGTCAGCTAACTTTCATCCATCGGTTTCTGCTCTTTTGTGGAGGAACAGCAGCACAGAACTCTTCCTCCTGTTTTCTCATTCAATAAAGGAAGACACACAGCCTGCGCCACTTCACAAAAAAAAAAAAAATTTAAGTCCGGGCTTCACCTGCAGCTGAACCAGAGAGTGCAGTTAACGTCTCCACCATTATTAAAACTTGTCGCAGGTCCATTCTGAGCTCAGAAACTGTTTGTTTACCTTCATGACGAAAGTAAAACTTTCTGTTTTTTTTTTTTTTTGGAAAGTTAGCAACTGCACATGTCAGTGCTTCTATTCTGAATAAAAGCCTGGTGCATATGCTCGTCATGATCGGATTGTGCCCATGTAAACCATACATTCCGATTATTTAATCCGAATACATTTTAATCCAATCAAAGAATTTTGCACATGTAAACATAGCTAATTACTCAACAAAATTACAATGTCTAAGTTTATAGCCTATACCAGATGGAAGATTAAAAATTACTACTCATAATTAGCAGCATCCTCCATTTATAACCCATAACATTTCAAGAAATTACTGTGTAAAAACACGCAGGAATCTCTTTAAAACTGGAATCTCTTTAAAACTGGAAATGATGAATGATTAGAGGAGAAAGTGATAGATAAGTTATTATAAAACTAAAGATTGACACAGATGAACTTGACTGACAGTACTGATTTTTTGAGATCCTTTGACTGAAGAAATGTTGATGATGTAGCAGTTCTGATCTACAGGATATAAATTTGTTTAAAATGTTAACTACAAACGTTTAACAGTGTGAAAGCTTTTGCATCTTGTATCAGATGGTGGATATGTTTCTAGCTGAATAAAGTGGCCATGTTGCTTTTAAATTAGGGTTGGGCAATATTGGCAAAAACAATTAGTCACGATAAATTTTGGTATTTAGRCGATAACGAGTAATTTGACGATTAATCCCCCGGAGTCCCTGGACGCCCTTATATCCTAGTCAAATGACCAATTTAATTTGCTCCTCGTAAAAATCTGTTCCAAATTGTGTCAAAATTAGGCTTCAGGCTTTAAAATCGATTTTTTAATTGTATTGATAGATAATGAAATTACAGAACTTTTTTTATGTTTGTCATATTTGAAGCAGAGAGCAGCAATCTCCAGTCAGTCTGCCTGCTGGCATTAATCGTATTAATCGTCAAGTGACAAAAAATAATCGATTAATGTTTTTCTGACTATTAATTGCACATGATATAATTATGCCCCACCGTATTTTAAATCCTTTTTCACATTTAAATCATTTTAAGAGCAGTCAAGTCCAGTTTGATAGAAAGGATTCTGACTATCTAGCAGTGCAGAAATATTTTATTTGCAAATTAAAAGACGACAACATCACTAGATTTGTCCATCCAGCATTGCATGTTAGTAAGTCCAGATCATATATGTCCGTTCCGTCACAAATTCGTACATCGACGTAACAGTTCAGAAAACGTCATTGAAAGTAGAGAAAACTTAGAAGGTTGAAAAATATGGCCCAAACAGAAAATAAAGATATCTTTGCAGCATCTGGACAGGAGAGACAAAATTTGACTTTTCTGCACTCTTTGAGGCTCCAAGTGCACAATAAAATAAATTTAACAGTTAAAAAGTGGATTTTACATGTAATGTTCCCTTTGAGGACAAGCTGAAAATTTATTCAGTTTTATAGTGGAAACTCACTATTTATGCTAAAAAAAAGAGGAATCTTGAGGCGAGAGCTTTTGTTGAACATAACAATTTTACTTCACAAGTTGTCAACAAAACTTAGTTTTTAAAACACATTAAAGCAACAAAAATGTTACGTGACTGCATTATTTTCTCTTCACATTAAAACATATAAAGTTTTGTTTTAAGCTTTAGTTTGACTTTGAAAAAGGGACTGTTAAAAAAACTGCAATACAAAAACTGCACATTTTTTTACATACAGTGTATATATATATATATATATATATATAATGTAAGTCTTTCTGTACATCATCAGTTGTTCCATTAACACATATCCATATTTCTCATGTATATTTTTTAGGAGGATAAAACTCCAATTTTAGCCCTTATGTACAGGCATAGATATGTTTAATAATGCATTGGGAGACAAAAACTGTGATTTAATAATCTTATATACAGTTTTGCTTTATTAGTAATCTCAATCTTATTTTATTCTAAAACAAATGCCGCAGAATTTATGAACCCCAACCACTTGGTAGACATTTAACCACAAAAAATACATCGAGGAGATGTGATTAAATATATTAACATAACTTACCTTGGCTCCAGCAAGCAGGCCTAGAGAGATGGCAACACGGGCCCGCAGGTCTGGTCTATCTTTTGGCCAAACATAAGCCAGCATAGCAGAAAGAATCTTGGCTGAATTCACCTCCTTCAGCTTTAAAAAAATAATGGAAAAACAGAAACTTTTCTTATTTTAAAAAAATCTCCTTTGGTTTGAATTCTTGGTGCGTTTTCCATGTGTAAAAAGGGTATTTATTAGTACAGCATTATCTTTCTATCCTGAAATCTACCTGTAAGCATCGGTAACTAATGTTCATTTTGCATTCGGTGTGACAGTCACAGAAACTTTAAGATGGCACGGTGGGCAGACACATGGAACATCAAATGTCAACGGCAGCCCCCTGGGACGTCTGACAGCAACAACGATAGACTCTCCAGGTGGACTTGTGGATCCAGTCTGACACTACAAGTCCCAGGGGACACCTGGCTGTCATCCCAGCTGAGGCTGAGAACCCATTGGTGCCAGCGTGGCTGTTTACCAACACTCAGACGCACATCTGCCACAGGGACCCTCGGCAGGCCAAAGAATACGCTTTAATTCCGCTAATCCACTCAATACGGTGGCACCATGTTAAGCACAGCTGCATGTCAGCACCTCCAAGCAGATTACAGTGAAACTGCGTCTCATGTCTGCCTTTAATGAAATACAGTAAAGAAATGTTTTGAGCTGTAATAGATTACACCAAATAATGCACAATTTAAKAAAAACCACCCATTAATCTATAATAACAAAAGGAACAATAATTAAAGTTGAAATATAAGACCTAGTGTTTAAGATTTACAAGTTTAAATCTTTTATTATCAGAGTCAAGGTTGTTCTATTTGTTGACTGTGGATTCTAAACAAACAGAGATTCAACAAAACTAGTCCAGAGCAGGAGTCATCAAAAAATTGCTTAAGGGCCAGAGTATTTTATAATCTGCTCAGAATTAAACTATTTCTACAAACTGGGATTGTTTAAAAATATATCTACAGCAGGTAAAGTTAATAACTGTTCACAACCTTTCGACAGAACCCCACTGCAAAAGCTCTGAACCATCGCTTTTAAAAAGAAGAAAGATCAAACAGATTGAGCGTTGTGATTGGCTAAAGCACTGCCATCATTAACCCTTTCTGTGCTGGGCTGTAAATGACTTCTGCTTTGAAATGTACACAGTCTAGCAATAAATTAAAACTGCATGGGTTTGAAAGACTTCTGGCATTAAATGAGTTTTTACAGCAAAAAGCAGTAGAGATTCTAGGAATTAACTAATTATCTGTATTGTGTTATAAGAAAGTTGAGAAAATACATTTTAAATGTCAAAGAGAATAGGTAAAATCTGCATCAATATTTAACTTTGACAGCTGTTARTAAAAGAGATCCCCGATTAGTTGTAACATTGGACTTTATTTGATAAACATCTGTTTTACCTGTAAAATAAAGACTGTAAAAATAGTGTAGGCTGTTTGGTTTTGTAAATTTTTAAAAATATATTTTAATACAGACGGAGCKATTTTATTTACACACAAAGCATTCTGGGTAAATGATGACGTGGATAGGTCCTCGGTGTGAGACTGCTAGCGAGCTATATCCACCCTGAAGGTTAATCTTGGACAAATTCTGATGATCGACTCTTTTAAATGAAACCAGAGAGCGTTGACAGAGAGGAGAAGGRAGAAATGACTCAGCCTGTAACTGAAAATATAGATGGAGGACAACAGAGCTGCTTCATGGAAGAAGAACCTCAGCTTAGCCTGCTAGCCTATGCGCTAGTGCTGATGCTGTATACAGTATAATAGCTCAGCGCTAGCGCGACAAACAAGCTAAACTGAGGTCCTCCATCCATATTTTCAGTTGCAGCCTGAGACATTTTTGTGTTCTCCTCTCTGTCATGTGGATAGAGGACCTCAGTGACGAGAGAATGTGTAGCACTGAGCTAATACATATATATGATGATAGTGTCGGGGCTAACGCTAAAGCTAACAGGCTAAGCTGAGGTTCTTCTTCCATGAAGCAGCTCTGTTGTCCTCCATCCATATTTTCAGTTACAGGCTGAGTCATTTCTACCTTCTCCTCTCTGTCAACGCTCTCTGTTTTCCTTTAAAAGAGTCGATCATCAGATATTGTCCAAGATTAACCTAAAAGGTGGATACAGCTCGTTAGCAGCCTCGCACCGATGACCTTTTCATGTCATCATTTACCCAGAATGCTTTGTGTGTAAATAAAATGGCCCCATCCATGTAATATATTTTTAAACTTTTAATTTAAAAATTATAAAAACTAAACAGCCTACAGTATTTTTACAGTCTTTATTTTACAGTTAAAATAAATGTTTATCAAATAAAGTCTAATGTTACAACTAATCAGGGATCCCTTTAAAGATTTCCCTACAATGGTCACAACAAAGCTCACTATCCGCACAACATTATGCTGCATTTATAAAAATATATTTAAAAGAACAAAAGATTTAGAGCAATACCACTGGACTCAGATTTGCAAGTACTGATCAAATATACTATTTTAAATAAAAAAGTTAAATCAATACTGACAATAACCACAAGGAGCAGTAATCTTTTCACTGTTTTACATGCGATACTTAAAGTACAGTTATTTGTTGTAATATGACTAATTTAATCATCAAACATAGCAGCATAAACCTTTCATTGGTCATGGTGAACTCAAACACACTCACCACATTTTTTGGGTCTGCACTTAGACCTCCACCTGCATTTCCGTGCCAACATGTCCGTTTGTCCATCACCTGCAGATGCTGTGAAAACAACATCCAATCACCTTTTTTTTTACCCCAAGCTTGATTTTGGAAAAGTTAATGAATTTGGTTATTACTAAAATACACTTACCTTTGCTGCCTCTAAAATCTGACGGCTGTTTTCTGTTCTGTTTGTGCTCCATGTTGCTGTTCGTAGGKTTGGAAGGGAGCTTAGCTGAAACACAAGACAGAGCTCATACTACTGTTGACCTTTTTCTAGTCACTAATATTTCAGCACAAAAATAATAAAATAAATATTACAACAAAAATGCACGTTATTCCCATATAAACAAGAACTAAACGCTTCCTTCTGGGTATTTGAAATAGATGCTTTTATTTATTAAAGTTGAAGAGTTCTGAGGTTGTTAGAGATAAGACAGGTAAACAAGTTAAATGAGGACAAGGAGAAAGCACCAAACTGTATTGAAAAGCTTTGCTACGTACTTGGCATGTCCGTGTAAATCTATTTAAACATTAAATCAACATGATAGGACATGTTCACAATAAACAAACAAAGCCTATAACTGTGTATTACTTTTGTGTACTTGTGGAGAACCAAAGCTGAACTTAATTACACTCTTGGGTTTAAGCAGGATGAAAATACAAGCACATCTACAGAGGCTGAGTCTCTGATAAAGCAAGATATCAGTGGGTGGTTTAGGATAAAAGCATGCAGGGCTAAACAGTAAACTTAGCATGAAATATTCAATTGCTCCAGTTGTACTAATAGAAGTATATACACAATCAAGGGAAATGATGGCAATCATTGAACACTTTTCAGCCCTTGCTGTCAGCATCATGTCTGTATAAACACTCCTTATATGAGTAATAATTTTCCACCCAATGCAGTTTGAATTTCTGATGGATTTTTTAATTTTTTTAGTTTATTATTTTTTCAAAACACCCTGTGCTTAAAGCTGTTTGGTAAACTTAGTCCCAAGTAACATAGCAGCCTTGAATATCCTTTAATATTAGTTTTTCCCAGAATGGGTAATACCTAAAGTTAGGCTAACCAAGGGTTCAAATTTCTACAGGACAATGACTCGGCACACATGCAAGAAAAAAAAAGATAAAAATTAACTTTGTTGGTGTCACTGAATAAATGACTGATGTGAAACCAACAGAATATATCTGATGACTCCCAATACCTTCTGCTCACTATTACTAAAGGTCACCATCACTGTTTCTGGCTAAGCAAAAGCAAAGAAAAAGTATCCTCAAATAAAGATCAGCATACTGTTTACTGAAACCACCGAAGACTTTACTACCGTCTTTATTCATGTTAATACGATCAACATTTTTTGAGCTTAAAAAGCAGGGATGCTGCCATTTTCTTCCCAAACTGCTGTGACCAGATTTTGCAAGGCTGCTCAGTGCGTTTGCCTGTAATTTCCTCCTGCTTCATTATTTCTATGAATTTCAACAAATCGGGCTGCCGTCAGGTAGTRAGCTACAACCTCGTCTTCGAGTTTTTAATTTTTGTTGATGTGTTTTGAAGAGACAATTTTTTGAAAACCGGATCAAAGTAAATCACCAGAGTTTTTCTAGTGACCCCTTAAAGAGATAAGCTGCCATGAAGAACATTATTTTATCTGCCCTTGTTCCAAATTTGATAAGGATTTGAAACGTCGAAGTATGTTTTTTTTTATCCGGAATAGTGCTTGTTAGCAAAGTGTTTTGACACTCGTCTTTGTCACGACACATTTAACACGCTGTCATTGGTTGATGAGCTTTGTTTACAAAACAGATGTCCACATGGTTTTTAAATCGTTTTAATTTCCTTACTTTCTAAGACAGATTAAGTTGATTTGATGCTGCGGTTTACCTTGTAATATTATTTTATACCATTTCTGCTACTTTTGAATTGACTATTATTAAGTTTTATTAGCTTTTTTAGGATACAAGATGCTTCCTACAAAACCAGAATGTGAATCTTTTCCTAAAATTTCATGGCGATATCTTGAACACTGAGGAAGTTACGAACAAAAATAGAAAACATCAAGGTGAAATGGTCACAAAGGCCCCATTAGTTCTGCTGTGAACTGCAGCAAGAAAACATGAGCTGATTTCACCTAAACAAACATCAATAACTTCCCTCATACTTGAGATAATCACATAATTTTGTTGTTATTTTGTATGGTTTGAATTGTTCTTTTGGAATCTGCTGTCAGATTTAATACTGGTGTAGGTTAAAAAATTTATCAACATCCCTTTAAAAAGCATTAAAAATCAAATTATCAATAACCAGTGTATATTACTACCCCCACCCCACCTTATGGGTGATTTTTTTGGGTTAAATTTCTAGTACTATAAATGAAAAAATACAGTAATTGTTACCAAAAGATCTTCAGTGAACAAATKAAAAAAGAGAATAATTTACTCTCTAGATTTCTACTAAACTTGCTAAATTATCCACTGACACTTGTGCACATAATGCCAAATATTTGGACTGATTTATCAGTCTAGTTTTTACTGAATTTAGCAGTTAATGGGTTTTTTTTAACCTAGTAGAAGCTTTACGCCAAGGACAAAAAACTATTGTAACTTTGTTATTAACACTGACAGTCTTTTCCCCATGTTTTTATCCATAGTAAGAAACAAATAAAACAAAAGGGGCTAAGTGTTTTGAGAAGGAAATTCATACATTAAGAATAGTAGACCACTAAATTAGTCTATTGACAACATGACAGTTAAATCAGTAGCAACATCAGCTGTTGTCCCGGGTGGGACAGAGTGTCTTATCTAAAGCTGTCAGATGCCACTTGTGGCACGTGACTGTGGCCACTGTTAGCCGCAAAGTTAGCATCTGATACAGACTGATAAAATAAAAACAAAAAAWTTAAGGCACGTGCCGTCATTTTGACACAAGTATACTTATGCGACCACGAACACAGACTTAAATGACCCCGAACAAGTAACACACCACTCCACTAAAAATGATAAGTTCACTGGCCCAAAATTTAGACTGTAACAAATGGTTGACAAGCGAAAGTTTGCACGTCAGGACCTGTTTCTTTCGAACAGTTTCCACAAACCAAACCACATCGTTTAGTCGTCGTCTCTTTGGAAAGTTAGTTAAGCACTTATATCCGTCCTTGTCCAAACACAACGCGTCCTCTTCAACCAGCTGCCGTACTCACCACAAATGTTTCCTGCCGCTTGTTTTTAAACCTGTCTTCCCTGCAGCTTTTATTCCAAAAGTGATATGAACTCGTCTGACGAATGAGAAACGCTAATTGTCGTCTTTGGACATTCAAGCCGCATTTTAGCGGCGCCAACATCGGCGCCATGTTGAGGAAAGAGGAAGACGTTTCGTCAACACACCGGCTACGTCACATCCGGGCTTCATCAACCAGCGACAGAGAGAGCGGCTAGCGGGCAAACAGTGGAGCACGACGCCACGTTGTTATATGTTTAATAGTTGTTAAATTGACGTCAACATCGCTCGGTTCATTGTTTACATTTTTTGTGTGCCTTTTTTCAACTTTCTGTCTTCATGCTAGGCGCGTAAGTTGTAAATCTAGCGTTTAAGCTAAACGGAAGAGCACGTTGTCTCGGTTGTTAGACAACACAAACGGGGTCAGTAGGTAAGAGGAAACGCTAACTGGCTTTAGCACGAAAATCTTTTCATCCCGAACTCAGGATGCCATGCCACAATCAACAACTGAACAATGTGAGCAGCGGCCAGGAGCATCCAATGAAGCAAGTTCGGTTTGCTAACAGCAGCAGTGTGCCCGCAGTACTGACCAGCAGCTCCGAGCCGAATGATGGTGTTATTACACAAGAGTCTGTCACTGTCAGCCAAGACACCCTGAACCTGTATCTGAACCTGGCACCTCAGCTTAAACTGCTGCCTCTGAACGACCAGATCCGTGAGCTGCAGACGATCATTAGAGACAAGTGAGTCCTCTCTCTTTAAAACACTAATTTGACTAAGGCTGCGCTTTTTTGCGCAGGAGACCTTGGCCTCTAAATCCCCCGCTCCCCTGCTGTGAGCCACATAGTGTCTATTATTATGCTAAAGAGGCGCACGCACACCTAGAGACACACCTAACCCTAATCACTGCTCACCTACATGTCCACCCTCAGCCCAAAACTGTGCTCCTACAT